ATGCCTAACTGGAAACTTGTCTGATACTGACTTTTAATCATTTATAGTTGGGTCAAGGTTTAAAATTAGTATAATACCACTATAGTGTTGCCGAAAAACTCCCTCCGTTTCATATTTCTGTATTTGTTAAAATTCTACTCTAAATGTGTATTAGTAAAAGTTTTACCCATGTTAGGAAATTTCATTATGGAAAATGCTTTACTTTAAGCCTCAGAAATATTATTTGTAGCCTGGTTGTTCATACCATTCCAAGTGATGCACTTTTAAGCCACAAATCAGTAAAATTCAATAAAGACAGCCACTCATTTAGCAATTCTTCCTACTCCATTTCAGTAAGAGGTAGGCTGGGCAATTAATTTGATGTGACATGTTTTGAAATATCTCAGATATAACCAAAATGATATAGATGTGATGTTTTGGAACTTTATTTTGGGCATCGTGGGATTATTCTTGTATCAGCATTTTTTCTCATGCATATTTAGTTATACATTTTAAGATATAGGCCTTAGTTTTAATTCATATAGAATAAGATTAGGATATTTTACAAATGCAAACCTTTAAAGTATGTTAGTCCAAATACCATTTGTGAAATTAGGGAAAAAGTTCTGTCTGAAATTGTTGTCATCTATATTTAATAAAATGTACTTTGAGTGGATAAACATAATATTTCTTTCAGCTTATCTAAATACCAGGGATTAAACACTTTATCTATTTGTGCTTTGAGAAATAATTTTGAAACTAGATTTTGTAAAGTATATTCTTGTCATTCTCGAGATACATCATATTTTAATAAATAGGGGATCTGTTTTATCTGTTTCACACATTTGGTGTACAAAGTAGTGTATTTCTAAATCTATTAATAATACTCAACTATTTCTATATCTGAAAGCATTTGGTGCCCTCAGTGAATATTTTTGTCTGTGTTTTCTCATGCCTCAGTTTGGTTACTTATATCCGAGATATAAACTCAGTTTAACGGTTTGAGTATTGTGCTAGGGTAGAAAAAGATAAATTAACCTCTAGTTCAGGGTTGGATCATTCAAAGGATTACCTAGGCATTTGCTCGGTAATTTATAGAATATACTTATTTTTCTGAACTTTTAACATTTGAGAATAAGGAGGAACTTGGCTGGTGATTTGACTTTATAGGAGTGTGTTGGTCTTATGCCTAATTGTAGGAAGAACTCATTCTATGCTACCTACTCAACTTACAGCAAGTTACCAGCTTAATTCCTTCTCTTTTTCGTTGATGCTATATAGTTTTGTTTGAATGACTCTTTCCTTTTTGAAACTAAAGAGAAATCATAAATTTGCCTTTCGACTACTTTTCATGGAGTTGTTTAAAACATAAACTTAGTTTTTGAAAAGAATTGTGAAAGAGGTGCTTTTATAAAAATTGTCTTTATTCTTACAGTTTATCCTAGAGTACATTTATAACTAGTGTTTAAATTTCAACAGCTGTTTTTAGAAAAATGGACTCTTTGGGTCTTATTAGAAAACCTAAAGATATTTTGTGAACCATATTATTTCCAAATTAACCAAAATTGAGCAGACATGGTATGCTTTGCCTTTTAATTGCATTTTCTCCAGTTAAAAGGCAATGAGCCTTTCCTGCATGTTAGGTACTGTGCTAAGTGCTTTTGTCTCAGTTAATTGCCTATAGCATCTCTGTGAGGTAAGACTAATATTTTCCCCATGTTACAGATAAGAAAAGCTAGGCCCAGTAAGTTGCCTAAGGTAACATAGTTACTAAGTAGTATAGTTGGATTTTGAATCCAGCCAGTCTGACTCTAGAGCCCTTACATTACTTTACTGCTTCTGATTCTATGAGGAATGGAATAGAGACTAGAAAGTAATTTTTCATGTAAAATTTATAAAAATCATTAGGTTTTGGGGGGGGACTACTAAAGTAGACCTCACCCTGTGATGTCTTGTGCCTAAGATAGGTTATTCTTTTCACTGTTAAGGCTATGGGTTCTGTTTGACCTAAAAATCAGATTTACTCAGGGAAAATTACTTCTCATTGTTTTCACTTTTAGTGACCCACCTCATGGACTTGTTGCCCATTGGGTCTCAAACTTTCCCCAAGCTGGAATTGCATAGCTTCAGAGAAGTCATTAAAACTTTAAAGATTTAACTTCTTCATCTTTAGGGGATAGATACCACACTAATCACAGGCAGATAAGAAAAGTTTTTACTAGAGTTTTGTTGCTGTTACTGCTTTAAGTACAGCTGATGTCTAGAGAAGAGTTAAAATGTGTTTTAAAAGACTGCCAAAGCATGGTTTCCTCAGAGGTAACCCTGTGTGTGGGGTCAAGCCCCCACACAAGGGAACTCTAGGATCCTGTCACTTCGTTACTTTGTGCAACTGGTTACTTTCCAAGTGATGATTTTTCTTTATCTGTAAGTTATTAAGGAAGTTGTGTCATAAATTGTCAGTACTCGTCGGGCTAAAAACTTATATTTTACTTAGAAAATAAGACATACTTTAAAAATTGAGATAAAATTGTTATATTTAAGTAATTGACTTAGGCTGTTGTCACTGTAATGGGAATTTATTGATTTGGAATCAAGACAAAATTAAGATTTCACATAGAAAAATCAGTAAAAAATGGTCCATATCCCAGGTTTTTTTTAATTGTACCTATCAAATTTAGATTGTAAGCTTATTGTAAAAGGGTGTTAGTAATTGTTTTACTCCCTTATGTCGTTTAATCCCCACAGCAACCCTATGAAATAGGCATTGTCATTATTCCTGTTTTATAAATAATGCACAGTCAGCGCTGGTGTACAAGTATCTATTTGAGTCCCTATTTTCAGTTCTTTTGGGTATAGATCTGGGAACGGAATTGCTGGGTCATATGGTGATTCTGTATTTAACTTTTTGAGGAACCACCGTGCTGTTTTCCACAGTGGCTGCACCATTTTACAATCCCACCAGCAGTCGATGGGGTTCAGTTTTCTTGACATCCTTGACCAGTACTTGTTCTGTTTTTCTGATAATAGCTATCCTATTGGGGGTGAAGTGGTATCTCATTATGGTTTTGATTTGCATTTCTCTTATGACCAGTGACGTTGAACATCTTTTCATGTGCTTATTGGCCATTTATAGATCTTCTTTGTTGAAATATCTATTCAAGTCTTTTGCCCATATTTTGATTGGATTGTCTTTTTTGTTGTTAAATTGTAGTTCTTTTTATATTCTGGATATTGAACCCCTGTTGGAAATATGGTTCCCAAATATTTTCTCCCTTTCCGTAGATTGTCTCTTTACTTTGTTAATAAAGTTCATTGATGCAGACAGTTTTTAAATTTTGATGATAGTCAGTTTATCTATTTTATATTTTGTAGTTTGTGCTTTTGGTGTCATATCTAAGAATCCATTGTCAAAAAGTAAATCTTGAAGCATTACTCCTATGTTTTATTCAAGACTTTTCAGATTTTAGCTCTTCCATTTCATTATTTGATCCATTTTGAGTTAATTTTAGTATATGGTGTAAGGTATGGGTCCAACTTCCTTTTTTTTGCATGAAAAGATCCTGTTGTCCCAGCACTATTTATTGAAGAGACTATTCTTTCCCTATTGGATGGACTTGGCATCCTTGTTGAAGGTCAATTGGCCGTAGATGTATGGGCTTATTTCTAGACTCTCAATTCTGTTTAATTGGTCTGTGTGTCTATTTAGACCAATTAGGACGTATAAACCAATTATATCAGTACCAGACTGCTTTGCTTACTGTAGCTTTATAGTATGTTTTGAAATTGGGAAGTATGAGTCCTCTTACTTTGTTCTTCTTTTTCAAGATTGCTTTGACTGGTTTCTACCTGAGAGATATGGAAACCAGGACTGATAAGAGGGTGAATAACTTACCTGCAATCTCACAGCTACTGAGTGGCCTAGCAGTTGTAACTTGGATCCAATTCCTCCTTTTAGCCATTTGGTTTGCTATATTGTTTCCTCACATTTTTAAGTCTTTTACTGCACCATATGGGTAATGCATTTGGCTGCTAAACAAAAGATTAGAGGTTCATATCCACCCCAGAAGTGCCTCAGAAGAAAGGTCTGACGATCATCCATTGAAAACCCTATGGAACGCAGTTTTACTCTGACATACATGAGATCACCATGAGTTGGAATCAGTACTCATTGACTTTTTTTCTTTCTTTCTTTTTTTTGTACTCTGCCACAGAGTCAGTATTTACTGTTTTACTCTGAAACTGGTCATCTTATAAAGGGAGCTTATTGTTTGATTTTAACCAGAGCAGAAATTCTTAAACTGTAGGGCCTTTCTTGGGGACTTTTAATGATCAACTAGAATAAAAAGAATTATTATCAGGCTCATAATTCAATTCCGATCTGTTTTATTAAAATGAAACTGCAAAAATATTTGGGGAGCCTAGACTGTCAAAAGACTGAACAGAGAAATAACTGCGTGAGTAGTTGCAGGGTAATAATTTTCCACCTGAATAGTTCATGTGAATTGGTTAATGTTAATCTTCACCAACACTTTTTTTGTAGCTTAGAATGAGCATGATAAAAACTACTTCCTCACTTCATTTTTAGCTATATATAGTCTTTAAAAATAAACATCAACCACCATATTATGTGATGCATTATAGCTTTTTTTTTTCCAAATAAAAACGAGAGCATGAAAAAGACTGGAAAGGGGGAGGTATAAAGATTATAATGGTTTGGGAGATTTTTGTCCACTGACTTCCAAAAGGATTTGAGCCGGCTGGTTGATTAATGATACTTCATTTGTTTGGTTTTCTGAACTTTAAAAATACTTCCATTTTTAAAGTGATTGGTGTTGACTGAAAAATCAGATGGAGAGCCTTGCTTGTTTTGTTTGACCAGCAGTATGAATTTTTTAAAAAGTAATGGTAATTGCCTCAAACTAGTTACTTTCAAAAGTAGATATTCTCTGTCAACTGTTTTTTATATAATCAGCAATTTGTGTGCTTGCACATACACTCAAACTGATATTTTCACTTTACAGGAGCCATCTAGAACAGTTTCAAGCAGATACAAAAGGTAAGAATCGTTAAGTTATGACTTACAATATGCTGTGGTCATTAGTGTAATGTCTGTCTGACCATAATAACTAACTATAACAGTTTCCAGCAGCTTTTTAAAAGGTAGGAAACTTTAATATTGTGCTCTTAAAAAAAATGAAATTGTAGGCAGGCACATAATGTGTATTTGACCATGGCTTATTCTGCAGTCTTTGAAAATTGCCCACACCATGAAGTTGTTTGCGCCTGAAGAGCTTAGCAAAATGAACACTTAGAATCTGTTTCCCTCATGTATTTAAACATTGAAAATAAAAGTTTACCACCTATATACTGAATAGCACCTCTGCCAGAGAAACTGTGGTTGTTTTTGCACATGTGTAGGAAGAAAATCAAAATTAGGTATTTTATTCAGTGGAAGTGCCTTAGATTTCTCTTCTCTGCTGAGGCCAGGAAGGTTGCAAAAACATGTGTTAACAGAATGCTTTTATTTACAATCATAGAATAATAGTAAGTCTTATTGAGTGTTTATAATGTCTGAGGTGCTTCAAATAGAGAGCTCATTCAATTCTCAGTTATTTTATAAAATAAGTATAATATTTATTTCATTTTATACATGAGGGAAGAGAGGTTAAAGAGGTAGAATAATTTCCCTGGGGTTACTGAGCTAGTCAGCAGTAGAGTCTGTATTTGAGCTCAGACTACCTGACTTCAGCCCGCCTTCAACCTTACTAAGCCCACATGCTTTGTAACTGCACTAGATTGCCTGCCTAGATTTACATGTGAAACCTTTATGTTTTCATCTAATTTTATGTTAAAATTTGAGTTATTTTTGTCATTGTATTACATAAAAGTAAAATATATTGACACTTTAAGTAGTATATAAATAAAATTCAATTTTTTATTTTTACCGCGTGCCATAGTATCTATTTGGGGTAGATTATCAACAATTGAATAAGTAAGTCTGAAACAGTTTCCACCACTTAACAATTGTGTGATCTTAGGCAGGTTTCTCTGTGTTAGTTTCCTTACCTTAAAAATGGAGTTAATAGTAGTAAGCAGGATGATTAAATGATACATATAAAAGGTGAGAATTAAATCAGTTACTCGATTTAAAATACTTAGAACTGGAGCTGGTAGACAAAAAATTCAATATGTTAACTGCTGCTACTGATTTTTTTTTTTTTCTTTCAGTTTTTGAGTAATTCTGATTTAGGTATGATGAGACCTGTGATTCATTTAAGTTGCTAACATTTATACATTGCTTGGTTATTTTTATTCATCAAGAATAGTTTCAACTGAGAAGGATCCCACCCCCCATCCCCCAACCCTCCCTTTTAGCCAGAAATCACTGCCAGATAGCTTTGATGTGTCCGGATCCCAGGTCAGATTCTCAAACCAAAATAATTTTTATCATCAGCTTTTGTTTTAGGGAATAAAGATAAACCTTGGTAACTTTTCAGGTTTGATATATCAGTCATATATATTTAAATCTTATTAAATAATAGAATCTTAAACAAGCAGTTTTCAGATTTATGTTCTGTAATTAGAATCAATATGGAATAATTTTCTTATAAATACTTACCAGAAGCTTTATATATTATTGTGTTAATCAGGAAAGAAAATTGTTTCCCATGGCATATTTTTTTATTTTTAAGCCTTTGAAGACATTATTTTACTTGTGACATGTTTCTGTCCTTATACTTTTATTTTCACAGCCTACAGCATATGGTTTGTTACTTTTGTTAAAAGTAATCAAAACTCAAAGAAATGGAAACATAAAGTTTATTCAGAGCAGTCATCCTATATGTATATAGGGAGACCATTCTGATTCTAAAAAAAAGCAAATGGCTTGAAGTAGGCTGGTTACCATGACGCATATAGAGGGGGGAGTAAAAAATGTGGTCCGTCAATTCCGACTCACAACGACCCTATAGGACAGAGTAGAACTGCCCCATAGGATTTCCAAGGAGAGGCTGTTGTGTTCCAACTGCCAACCTTTTGGTTAGCAGTCCAACGCACAACCACTGCGCCATCAGGTCGAAAGAGAAGAGGAGGTGGAAAAATAGAACATCAACCATTTACTAATCTTAACATGATTGATTGAACTCTACCCGTCCTCTTTTACTGAGATCCACTGATCTAAAAGAAAAAGAAACTTAAAATCAAAGTAAGACAACTGTTACTAATTTTTCTCTTTGACACTTTTCAACTTTCAGAAGACTTAGCCATGTTTAATCCCATTTTAAAACAAAAGAAAAATGTTTATGTTTCTGGTTATTATTCACTGATTCACAGCTACTCCTAGTTTTAAAACTGTTTAAAAAACAAAAATAGGAGGCGAGGCCAAGATGGCAGAGTAGTCTTTTTAGATGCCTCCTGTGGTCCCTTTTACAACAAAGACCCAAAAAAACAAGTGAATGATTATGTATGACAATCTAGGAGCCCTGAACATTGAGGAATCAGACTGAGTGGCGGGGGAGGGAGACACGGTTCAGAAGGAGCTAGGAGTTGCCAGACCTGACCCAGCGGGAGCCAGCACCCTTCAGGCCAGATCGGCTGGCGTGTACAGTGAGACAAGCAGTGGTGTTCGGGAGGCATTTTCCATATCGGGAGAGACCGAGAGGCAGAGAGTCTACTTGGGCCTCCAGAACCAGTGAAAGGTGGTGCTCGGTCGTCAAAAGATAAGTACGTGCATCTGACCTACAGCTTGGATCAAAAAGCATCCCCTCTGGGAAAAACCTCTCTCCATTTACCTGCCCCCTCCCCACTCTGCACTGGGTCCTGGGCCTGCTTCAGCGATTTCTGAGTCCCCTGGGCAGAAGTAGGACCAATCCTGTGCCCTGAACCATTCCCCCAGCCTTGGAAAGGGAACAAATTAACAAACAGGGAAAAAATGATCTGCTGGCTCCCCCAAGCCAGGAACTCAGGGTAGACACAGCTCCTTTACTGAGGCACAGGCGTAAGGGGTCCATGGACTTTGAATGCCTTTTACCGCTGCATAGAACTGTGTGGACCCATTTCAACAGCGTAGGCCCTCATTACCACAGTACAACAGGATATATACCTGAAGGCTAACTTCAGTTGTAGCAGTAATATGGTGAAGTTGCAGTGAACTTAGAAAAATAAGGGTAAATATTAAGGTAACCACAAAGGAAACTAACAGTCCTACACATCAAAATAAAAAACAGGAAAAACATAAAAACTCAGCAAATACAAAATCAGCAATGACAAAGATGAAAAGAAAATACATAAAGAAAAATGACTCAGCCCAGAAAATTAAGTGGAACAAAAACTGTCAACAACACAGAAAAAAAGACATCAGAATGACAGCACTAAATGCATACCTATCAATAATTACACTGAATGTAAATAGACTAAATGCACCAATAAAGTGACAGAGTGGCAGAATGGATTAAAAAACACGATCCATCTATATGCTGCCTACAAGAGACACACTGTAGACTTAAAGACACAAACTAAAACTCAAAGGATAGAAAAAAATATCAAGCAAACAACACAAAAAAAGAACAGGAGTGGCAATATTAATCTCTAACAAAACAGACTTTAAAGTAAAAGCTACCACAAAAGATAAAGAAGGACACTATATAATGATTAAAGGGTCAATGCAGCAGGAGGACATAACCATAATAAATATTTACGCACTCAATGACAGGGCTCCAAAATACATAAAACAAACTAACAGCATTGAAAAGAGACACAGCTCCACAATAATAGTAGGAGACTTCAACACAACCACTTTCAGTGAAGGACAGAACATCCAGAAAGAAGTTCAGTAAAGACACGGAAGATGTAAATGCCACAGTCAACCAACTTGATCTCATAGGCATATACCAAACACCCCACCCAACAGCAGCCAAGTATACTTTCTTTTCCAATGCACATGGAACAGTCTCCAAAACAGACCGCATATTAGGCCATGAAGCAAGCCTTAACAAAATCTAAAGCATCAGAATATTACAAAGCATCTTTTTTGACCATAAAGCCATCAAAGTAGAAATCAACAACAGAAAAAGCAAGGGAAAAAAATGAAACACATGGAAACTGAACAACACCTTGCTCAAAAGCTACTGGGTTATAGAAGAAATTAAGGATAGAATAAAGAAATTCATAGACTCCAGCGAGAATGAAAATACCCCACCGGAACCTCTCAGACACAGCAAAAGCAGTGATCAGAGGTTAATAATAGCAATAAATGCACACATCCAAAAAGAAGAAAGGGCCAAAATCAAAACATTAACCCTACAACTAGAACAAGTAGAAAGCAGCAAAAGAAGCTCTTGGGCAACAGAAGAAAGGAAATAATAACAATTAGAGAAGAATTAAATGAAATAGAGAGTAGAAAAACAATTGAAAGAGTTAATAAGACCAAAAGCTGGTTCTTTGAAAAGATCAATAAACCATTGGCCAAACTGCCAAAAGGAAAACAGGAGTGGAAGCAATTAACCCATATAAGAAATGAAATGGGCGATATCACAACAGAACCAACTGAAATTAAAAGAATCATAACAGAATACTATGGAAAACTGTACTCTAACAAATTTGAAAACCTAGAGGAAATGGACAAATTTCTAGACACTCACTACCTACCTAAATTAACACAAACAGAGGTAGAACAACTAAATAAACATAACAAAAGAAGAGATTGAAAAGGTAATTTAAAAACTCAACAGAAAAAAGCCCTGGCCCGGGTGGCTTCACTGGAGAATTCTACCAAACTTTCAGAGAAGAGTTAACACCACTACTACTAAAGGTATTTCAAAGCATAAGAAAGAACGGAATACTCCCAGACTCATTCTATGAAGCCAGCATAACCCCGATACCAAAACCAGGTAAAGACACCACAAAAAAAAAAATTACAGACCAGTATCCCTCATGAACATAGACGTAAAAATCCTCAACAAAATTCTAGCCAGTAGAATTTAACAACATACCAAAAAAATAATTCACCATGACCAAGTGAGATTGATACCAGGTATGCAGGGATGATTCAGCATTAGA